AAACAACCCACCAAAATCTATACGAACACCGAGACTGGTTGCTGGAAGGAAGCAAATAGAGGGAGTAGGAGGGCGGGAGGAATGGGAATTAAGGTTACTGGAAGCAAAATTGTTTCTAGCTTTGCGACCGTGGGTAACATATTATCGCATTTGCAGAATTATCTGCGTATAAGAATCACGTGAGAAGTTTTTAAAAGTTTTTTTGCTAAAAATTTTGGCTTTAGAACTTTGCAGAACTCATTGATTAATTATGTCCAAACTCTTAAACTGCTGGTTGGGGCACTTTATTGGTGGATCAAAGTTCTTGGATGCAGCTGGGTCTAGTAGTCGTTCACAGAACTGCTTTCAGTATTTTCTAATATCTTATTTTGTACCAAGATTGTAGGCTTCGAAGACAGTGGCGCCCGATCCCATTTCGTAATCAATTGACAACTAAATAACGTCCCTGTCTCCTCCTCCATCTTCTTCTCTCTCTCTCTCTCTCTCTCTCTCTCTCTCTCTCTCTCTCTCTCTCTCTACCTCTCTGAATCCACCACTCCCCTATCTGACAATGCGTAAGGCACACAGGAATCCGATTATCACAAGTTTCTCAGGGAAAGTAGACATCTTATCAAAGTGTAGAGTAGAACAAACTTTAATAGCCCCATTGCCCCAATAATATAACGCCAATTTAATGATGACTTGAACAATCTCACCTGGAGCTGTAGTATTCGTTCAGTGTGGACTCGATAAGAAAAACATATTTGCCGTGACTATCTCGTACCCTGTCTATACCTTTGTCGTTATTTTCAACAAAGACATCTGGTTGCGACGTCATAAACGACCACATCCTCTGGTACAGAGACACTGTTGTTTGCTGTAAATAAGTAGTAAAGCATTTGTTTAAAACGCAGGTTTGGCTCCGTTCGTTTATAATTGATATCCATAGTATCTCTTAAAGCCAGATAGAGAAAATACACGGAAGCAATTAAGTAAGAGTTTTATTGAATAAACTTACGAGTTATTTGACAAGCCTTGGTGATTGAAAAAGCAGGAAATGGCACGAAGTCACATTTTGTGGGTTAATTTTAGTTTTTATAACTTCTTACTAAGGTTCAATCAGTGATATAATTTAAACCCAGAAGACTGCCTTTGTCACAACCATACCGTGTTGAAAGTAACATTAAAACCATAGAATTGAATAGAAACTGAGATAAATAGTTATCTCAAGGCACTTTTAAAAATCGTATTTTTAGATTCTAATGTATTACGCCCCTTCGACAAAATATAGATCACTGTAAAGGCAAGCTGTTTCCATCCTGTCATCCAGGCCCCACTAGGGCTGAGTGCAATGATGAAACATCTCAGCAGACAGGCGGAGATAGTCTATTTATATTTCTTTAAAAATAAAAAATCGACCTCTCAAGGTCTACGCGCAGCAACGAAAAAAATAACTATTTCTCAATAGTGGTAGGTTTAAGACAATTTTTTTTTTTAGGGGGGGTGGGGTGATAGTGTAAAAAAGCCTATAAAGCTCACGTTGAAAAACATGTAGGTGCTGCCTCCTCTGTATGGGCCGTACTTGATTTCCGTCTGCTTGACCAGGTCTTCAGCGGACCTGATACTTCCGCTCATGCGCATGGTGGTGAGGAAGGCTGCCAGGTTGGCCGTGTAGGAGGAGATGATGATGAGGGTGAAAAACCACCACACGCTCGTCACTATTCGCCCTGACACTGATCTGAAGAGAAATTATAAGGTTATACTGGAAATTTCGTTGGTTTCTTTACCGCCGAACAAACACAATAGATTACAAGGTTATAAAGCCTTATAGCGTGGAGGTATAACAGGAAAACATCTCTAAAATGTAACTTTTTTTTTAAAGTTTACGGTTACCATGGTAACGGCGGCCAAATTGAAACTAACAATTTTCATAAAGTAAAAAGGATGTTTTTATTTACAAACCAAATATGTTCAAATTTGGAACATTGATAGATATACACAAAACAAAATTTTGTGCTGTTAGGATATTAGATATCTTGAATAGGAAAAAAGTTAGAGATGGATAACTGACCAACCCCTTCATGTCTCTGAATTCGATTACATAATCATCCACGTTAATCACTTATGAATAGACCGATTTTCTTTTCCACTGGTATAAAGTTAGGTTATCGTTTGAATAACAATCCCTGAAATTTTCATTGGAATCAAAACAAAAATTAAAAAGTAGACAAATCAAAAATTGAAGTTTTGAGGAAAAAAACAACGACATTTTTGTTACATAATGGTCAAATAAAAGTTCTAGGACAGAAAATCTGAAAGATGATGATTGTAACACAACAAAGAGTAAGCACTTTTTAGATTTACAGGCGGGTGAAGTATTATCCCCCCCCCCCTCAAACCACCGCTTAAGAAAATATCCCCAAATAAAATGTTGAGCAGAAAGTGGATACGATGTGACAACGTCAAAAGATCAGGTGGTCTTGAAACCAAAGTTCGCTCAGAAATCAAAATAGTAGGAATGGAGGAAGAAAGAGAGAGGTGGATACCGAGAAAGGGAGAGGATGAAATAGAGAGAGAGAGGGGGGGGGGAAGAGAAACAGTGGGAGAGAGAGAAACAGACATATTGGGAGAGAGACAAGCAGAGACACAGTGACAGACATACAGACAGAGAGACAGATAGACAAAGAGAGAAAGAGTGTAAGCCATTGCAGAATACCTTATCGCTACAGCAAAGACACCTTATATCTCGTAAATGTGAATGTTCAACACCCCCATCTACTTGACATTGATCATTTATGAGGCAGGTTGTGCTTGTCTTGCCTATCAATCATGGCCAACGAGGACACAGAGGAATACAGTATCCCAGCAGACAGACCAAGATACAAGATTTTAAAAAACTTTCCATTCAAAAATCAAACTCAAGTCTACTGAGTGCCAAGGCAAAGAGCCTAACTTTCTACACGCGACTCTGGTACATCTAATTAAACATGAATAAAAAGAAAGCACAAATTAAAGTGGAAGACCTATATATATATAGGAGCTAAGTCATATATATAAATAATGACCCTGAGGTACAACGTGCATGCAAAAATGAGCAATTACTTTTGACATACGGTGTTATTAATTGGGAATAACCAAGAAGAGATAAAGAGTTTTAAAAAACAGCCCAAGTAACATCAGATGATGGCAATGAAAATGATCCTGAAAAGGGACTTTGAGTGAAGAGAAGCCTTTTGAAACAAAATAACTTCCATTCAAATGAGAGAAAAAGTAAGACAGACAGACAGACAGACATGACAGAAGGAAAGGAAAGAAGTTGGACCTACTATTTTTTTGTTTGTTTGAGTAGGTGTTTTACGGCACTCTCGATTCAGTTTTGTTCATAGGACCTAC